AGGAGTCTAAAGTTGCCCTCCTCTATCAAATGCATTTATACCTCAGAAAAGGTGCATTTTGTCAATTTTGTTTGCCCTAGCCAGGTTTAAGTTGTATAACCAGCACTCACTTTCTGGATAGCCACTGGTCTAGCTGACCTTGGCAGCATGACAGCTGTCGTATTTTCACATGGATGAACTGTTCTTGAACAACTTCTCCAATGTATTGGGAACAAACAAGCTTTTCTTCAGCATCAGGAATGCAGCAGGTCTTCTTTCCAACTATTTTTTTCTCCTTCCACAGACATATTTATTGTGGCAATGGCAAGAAAATCCTACTGCTAAGCCTTCGTGTTTGAGTTCCTTTCAATTTCCTTCAGGGGAGTGACAGAAGAGCCAACCTAGATCATGTCAGAGCTTGCTTTCTTTAATTTAACTCTTTGTTCATTTTTAATAAACATGGGTATTAATTTGTAGTGGCAAGAAAAGTAGGAGGGCAAAATCCTTTTACATCTTTCTTGCTAGTATTTCCACTTCTGCTGTGTATTTATTTAATTTAAATCACCGCGGTAGTTCACAGTGACAGAGCAGGATGCCGCTGGGGAGGGTATGGCACAAACCCAAAGGGTTTGGAGTGTGATGGACAAGATGGCCGGAGATGAATGGCAGGGAGTATTTTATACGAGTGGAGTGACCTCCAGCTGGTAGCGCGCTCGCTAGGTTCTTTAGCTGAACAGGGGTGTCACAGGATGGAAGGTACAGGAGCGAGGAGGGAGACGGTGTCAGGAGTTAGAAGTAGCAGCATGGGAGGGCAGTGGGGGCAACCAGGGAGCTCAGACTGGGCTGGGGTAAGAGACCCTCACTAGCAGAGAGTCGAGGGTAATGGTGAGAACACAGTCCTACTGACACCAAAATCTTTTTAGGAAAAGTCTTCATCTCCAAAAAGGGATTTTCTATTGAGCTGTGACAAAAGGTGAGAACGCTCCCAGAAGAGCCAATAATCCATTTGTTAGAGCTTCTGCCTGGCAGACAGAAGCTCATGTTAATTTGGGGCCTGATTCAGACTGGAAGTTTGTATTTAACTGAAGGTTGTATTTCTATATTGGTCCTTGCAGTTACTTAGAGATTTGTAGTAGTACAGTGCCATGGCATGGATTAATTGCTCAGCAACTTCACTCCTTGAGTAGTTTTTGCGGCCTGCATTGAGCTGCATCATAGCACACCTAAATATAATCTAAAATGAACTGGTTTTCTCCGGAACTGCACTCCCGTACCCCCCAACCATGGCTCTATGGGAAAAGGGATGAAGCATGGAGTCCTTTGATTTAATAGCAATGTAAGTCAGTAAATCCAAGTGCTTTGTAAAAGTTTGCATGTTTCTGGACCTGAGCTGACTCTCATGGAGCTGGCTGGTGTTTCTCTTCTCCATGTGCACAAATGCTCTTCACACCAGGGATGTTAGTAGTCAGGAAGGGCGTCAGAAAATGTTTTGTTTGATTCATGCAAAAAAATAAACCTTCAGTGGTGGCAGTAAGTATAATTGATGACTGAGTCTTGTGTGGCAGAAGAGCTGATGTTCAGCAATCACATAAGTTTGGAGAGAGAGTTAAAGTTGAAGATTTTATTGATGCTCCTGTGTCTTGCACATTTTTTTCATCGTGGGAATGAATTTCAGACCCTAGTGGTTAGTATTAATGCTATATATCCTCTGTGGTTAGTATTAATGCTATACAGTCCTGCCAAATGTGGAGAAAGTTAGAACTGGAAAAAATAGCCCACTGTGAAGAAGTTAGATGCAAACAAACGGGGATGGAGGTTTATGCTTACAAAGAGCTCAGCTCTGTTGGCACTTCTCCTGGAGCAGTCCTGTCAATCTAAATCTGAATATTTGCAGAGTGAAGTGTTGCTAATGAACAAGGCTGGCAGGACGGGACTCGAGGTGAAGGCACCTGAATAAGCGGTTTAAAGCAGGAACCAAGAGACCGGGCTGAACCCCGTGAATCAAACTGCTCCGCTCTACCCTTGTCTTAATCTGTTCGCATCTGCCTTCCTGCCAAAGCAGGGGGGAGGCCGTCAGCCGGCGCGTGCCGTGCCAGCTCGGGAGCCGCTCGGCTCTCGCCTAGATGAGCGTGGGATGCTTTTGTGTAGCCGGGGGGACTCCAGCTCTGGTGTGTTCCAAAACAAAGTGTAGCCTATAGTTTGTTTTGTCTTTCAGTGGAATAAAAATATGGTGCTTGGCAGAATGTGTTCTGTAAACAGGCAACTTTTTACTTAAAATGCAGTGAGCGAACTTGGCTGTGTAAGCTTGGGGTCTTGAAAGTTCCTCTGAAAATACTGTTATTTTTTTAAGTTAATTTTTTTCTGGAGTTGATTTAATTCAAAAGAAGTTTTGTTTGCTTGCTTGCCTGAGGTTTTTTGGTAGGTTTGAATAGATGAGCTTCATTTCTTCTGCAGTTTACTTTGGTGAAACTTCTGTAGAATTTGGAGGAGATAGCACAGTGCAAATGGAGTTAGACTTCAGAACTTTGGGTTAGAGTTTGCAGACCCCAAAAGCCAACTCTCGTACTTCATGTGATTTTTCCAAGCGTTTGAGCTGACGTGAGCTCAGACTTTGTAGGGCAAAGGAAGGCCCAGTGTTTCTCCAGAGAGCTTCACAAAGAGCTTTCCATCACTTTTGGGGCCCTTGAGTCAATCTGCCAACCGCCATTGCCTGGTGCTCATGCGTGCTGTGCAAAGCCAGAGCGGGAAGGTGCTTCCCGCATCTGCGTGGCTGATGCTGCCTTTCAGCGCAGATATTTTTAACTATTCCATATCGCAGCTCTGCTCGGGGCTGAGGTGTTGCTCCAGGGCTGCGGCAGACCGGGCGGGCAGCTGCTGGGCTCGGTGCTTGGCAAAGCCGCCAAAAATCCCCCGGCAAACCTGGGGCAGCGCCATCTTCTCCCCAAAGAGTAAGTGGCTCTGAGAGGTTTTGCCACATAAGGGCCTGTTCGAGGCTGTAGGCACCAGCTGACAGGGATGTCTTTGCCTCCCAACAGATGGCTGGGCTTTTTATTTCAGCAAGCAATCTCACGCGGAGGGGTGGTCTCCGGATCCTGCCAGCATTTCGCATGACAGGGCCAGCTTAGGGCAAGAGGGATCTGGTGTCCGTGCCCTTCGTAGCTCATGTGCTAAATGACGAGCTGTTGACAGGAAAGCCATCATCTGAAGTGTAAGATCCTGAACTCTCCCCGCTTTTCATTTTTCTTTGGCGGAATTAATGCCCTATTTGCTTGTCTCTCAAAATCCATTCTGGCACAAGTACAAACCCTCGCCTGGTGGCAAGCAGTTGTCTGGATTCGAGATGCCAAGATTTGTGCTGACAGCTCCTTCTACACAATCTGAGTCAGGCTGTCACAGCTGGCCATTAGAGGCTTAAAAAGACACACACATGTACAACACATAGCACCAACTTACCGTTATTGAATATCAGAACCTGCTTGATGAGAAAATGTAATGGCTTACGCTGCTCTTTATTTTAGTGTAAACACTGTCTCCAAACCCCTGTTCAAGTGTGGCGGCTGTTTATTTTATGTTGATTGCTTGCTCTTATTTAGGAGCACAGGTCTAGAAGGGACTTCCTGGGTCAGGAGATCCAGTCCTTGATAATCCCAAGCATCACATTTTATAATCCTCCTCATTACCTTTTCTTTAATGAAAACAGTTCCTTGTAGTTTCAATTTGTCCTTGCAGCCATTTGCCTACTATGATTTTCTTGGCATGGAGGAGCAAGCACCAAAACTTGCCTTGTGAGGAGCAGCATCACAACTAGAGCAGGGCAAAGAATGCTGCTCATCAAAAATGGATTTTCTGAAGCTGTTTGCCCTGCAGTTTTGCCTTTCTTGGTGGCAGTGTGTGCAAATTGTGCTGAACTAGCATTCAGTTTGGGTGCTAAAAGATGGATGCTTGCAAAAACTAACTTTCTGACTTAAAGTAAATCAGGATCGAACAATTCCCTGCCCCACTGTTGTATATGGAAACAGGTCAGATTAGCTTCTGCTTAGTCAACTGATGGTTATGGCAAGTGTAATGCTGCTCTGTCTGGTTGTGCTAGGTTTTAAACTTGCTGTAGGATTAAATTTTGTGTGGCTGAGCTTTAGTAGACCTTAGTCTGTAGTTTATTTTGGACAAAAGGTTGATAAACTTTAGCTCTCGGGGAGGAAGCCTGGAATCTGAGACCCACTATTATTCATTGACTTGTCTTTATGAGTTTACAGTCCATTGATGCATAACACCGAAGGAAATATTTTCAGTGAAATGTTTGCTTTTTTCTTTGGCTTTGTAAAATGCAATGTCTTTTCTTAGAGATATATGTCAGGGTCAATATAGCTACTTCAGTGAACTGTGTACGGTCAGGAAATAGACTGCACTGAAAATATTTGATTTTTCCCTGAAGTCAGTCTTTTAACCAAGACTTTCCCTCTTCACTTCTCAGGGTTTTGGTCTCCCACTAACCACTATTTGAGCATTAATTTTATACACAAACAGGGTTTAATTGTGGAAGGGAGACTTCAACTGTATGGAACGTTTTCAGTATTTTTGTATTAAATCAAAATTTGCACACGACAGCGAACTTGTAAACCAAAACCCCATTATACATAAGGGGATTTTCTTGGCTGGCATTTTTCTGTCCTCTTTTTGCTGTGCTGAAATATGTGTGTCTCACTTCCTGGCTGCTATGCATGGCACAGTGAGGCTGGCCATTTAGTGTGATAGAGGGACTGATTCTGCAAACTTTAAGGGCTCTGACACAACAGACCTATTAATTTAAGCTTAAATATTTAGGATGTGCTTACACGTTTTGCTGGATTGGGGCCCATGCAAGCTCTGCTCCCTCTTTGGATGGTCAGTGGGGATGGTCGGACAAATCTGAGTTGGGAACACTAATGTAAATAAAGCTTTGTTGGACCAAATGTGCAGATGTTAACATAGTACTACTATGCACTGTTTATAAGATGTTAATGTCCATTTCTCTTTCTCCACAGGTTCTTCTTGAAATTTTTCCTCAAATGTAACCAAAATTGCCTAAAAAATGCAGGAAACCCTCGAGACATGCGTCGATTCCAGGTCAGTTGGACACGCTTCCTCCTTTAAAAATCAGCAGCTGTTAGGGACAGAAGTACTTTGACCCAAGCTAACCTAGTAATTCACTGGAAGATGCTAAAAACATAAGGTCACAGAATATTGCCTGAGGACTTCTTGTCACAGCAGAATTGGCAGGAAGTAGTTGGGTTTTCTTGCTCTGGACAAGAGAACTCTTGAAGACAATGTCGTCTCCATGGGAAGTGAAAGCATGAAAAGGAAAAATCAAAATGACCTCACTGCTGTTTTAGGTTATGGGGCTACCCTGCTCTGAGATATTCCCTTCTGCCTGGGGAACTATTTGCCTTCATGTAAACACTAAGTGAGCACCATGTTTATTGGAAGGGGCAGAGGAAGGTATAAGAGCGATTAACAAAATCAAGCTTGTGACTACGCTTCAGCAGTTATTCTTTGGCAGCATTAAAGACTTGTAAATGTGCATCAATGCAATGAAGGTCCATCCCTGTACTCAGCACTTGGAAAAAAACTATCATTGGGTGTATCCTTCTTGGGATGTTTTGGGCTGGTATTTCCCCACTGTTGCAGCATGTGGCAGTGGGGCTTGGGAACTGTAGTACTAACACAGCTTCAGATGGCCAAGGACTTTTTTTTTATGCTACACCTATATCCACAACTACTTTTGGGATTAAATACAGCACTTTCCCTTGGGAAGGTGGTCTGCCCTTGCCTTCCCCAGTGCTGGCAGCAAAGTGGTGTGGTGGCAACGCTGAGAAACAGTTGCTCCAACCCCTTTATTGAAGACGTGGTCCTTTGACTGTGCCGGTAATGCTTTACCTGAATATGTGCTGAATAAAAACATGGGGTAGAGAGCCAAAGGACCTTCTCTTTTGATGGGAGGAGTGTACATGGCCCAGGGAGAAAACATGATAGAGTCTGTCAGTGGGGATTTGCCTGTAGGTTCTGAGGAAGAAATAGATTTGTCCCATAGAACTACATGGGTATCTGGAGGAAGACAACTCCAAAAGACAGCTGCTTTCTGCAGTAGCTCAGGACCTTGTTTGTTTCTTTTCCAGCATTGTTGCACTTAAATAAAAGTGCTAAATGCTATGTAAATGGCAATATTATTTGTATGTAGAACATATGTCTTTTGTTGAACTGCTTAATTGCAACAATGCTGGAAGGCAGAAGGGTGTTATTTGCCCCTCTGAGCACAGAAGTGCAGAAGTGAGGAGATGTGGCCACAGGAATTAAATTAATCAGTATAAGAGCTAGCATTAGCATGGCAGAGCCCTCAGCTTCTCACCCCACACTCCTCCCTCCATCACATTTCTCCTGTGACTTGAGAGGGCATTATCACTGAAGGAGAAAGTAGAATAAGGACTCTCACCAGCACAGGGATTTAGGCCAAGCAGTCACCCCTGGGGCCTGTCAGAGCTTGCTTCACAACATGTACACTCTGCTGGGTTTGTGCTTGTCCAGGCTCAAGGCTGATTTTCATATGGTAATGCCTTTGCGTGTTCTCTCAGAACAGCAATCAGGAGCCTGTGTCGGCGAGTAGGTAGGACATAGGAAAGGTTGTTGATCTCTTGACTTGTAAAGACATTCTGTCATACAAATCCAGCTTCACAGCAGTTGAGCTTTCCGTGTGTAAACAGAGACTGCTTAATTACACAGGTCATGTCAATTAGTGTGACCTTAGCATTTTCAAGAAATTAATCACTTTCAGCCGAGCGAACCACTCATACTATAATACAGGGTGATACTGAAGCTTGCAGCATTCTGTTAAGTGCCCAGGCTTATTGTTTTACAATAGCTGCCTGCTTTTGTTTCTTTTCTTTTCTTTTTTTTTTTTTTTTTATTTTGAACTTGTTGCTCTTTTAGCAATAGTCTCCTTAAAGTAAAACAGCTAGACTCTAACAGCCAGACCCTACATAGTCCAGGCTTCATTTATCATTTCTTAGGGTGAAAAGGACCAAGCATACGCATAGTATCTCAATGATATGATGCACCTAGATGTTTGAGACAGTGTTGTATAGGAAGCAAGTGAAATCTGGGCCCCTGTGAAGTCAGTGGAGGGTTTGCCATCAGCTACCTTTGAAATGTTGCCTCTGATGTACAAGGTCTCTAATAGTGATGTCAAAGTTCTGGTTAAAAAACATGACAGTAAGGTATTTCTAGATACTTTTTAAATAGTAGAATACCCTTTTTACACAAAAAAATGGAGACTTTCCCTTCCTTTATTTCATTTCCCTATCTGTGCTGGACTGTTAAGCTGCCCAGAGATTTGTCCATCTTTTGGCCATGGTCTCTCATTCATCAGTCCCCGAAAGCTGTTAGGAGTTATTAGAACGCAGATTATGACTTTGGTGGGAGAAACAGTGAAGGGCCAGGGACATGAGTCTTGCACTGTCTAAGGACTGGTCCTGCAGAAAATTTGCTTTCTTAGTAGTTCTTGTTTTTTTTTTTTTTTCCTGCAGCAGGGAATTGTCTGGTTATCATATGGTATAAGAGAGGTTAAGAAAGTACATGGAAGAGGCAGAGTATGTGTTGATTCAGGCGACCTGTGCGTGCAACTTCATTCAGACTCACATATAGAAATCAATTAGGAAGTTTTATCCTGAACTTTGCTTGTAAATGTAGTAGTGTGATAAGCCTAACATAAAAGCAGTTGTGGGGCTGGAAGGAAATACATTTCTCTGCATGTCTGAGATATCCAGGCCTGTGACAAGTGGAGTTGTGTCAAGTGCCAGCAGAAGTGTGTGCTGGAGCAGTGCTGGCCCTGGCTGTGTTAGTTGTCTCTCTATTACCAGGAGGAGATGGTCAGAGAAGAGAAGTCAAGTATTATGCAGGGACTCAAGGCAGCTGAGCTGAGAGTTCAACTGTGCTACAGACTCCCTGCTTGTCCTTAAGAAAATCATTTCATCTCTGTGTGTTTCATCAGCCCAATTGCACAAAATATTTGGTGATATCACGTATTGTCACCTTTGTCCAACCTTGCCTTTTTATTCCAGAAACCCCACGGAGCAGATGCTCAGTCTGGTTTTGCATTCTTCATCACAATAAGTCATCAGTCTTGGTGGCATGGGCTGTAGTGCCCCAATTAGTGGTAATAATAGTAGTAATAATAAGTAGATGGTATCATGGGTGAACTCAGCTCAGTTTTTCTTTTTCAGCACTAAAAAAATCATTCATACAACCTAAACAGTTTTGTATGTTATTGTAATTAATGAAACCCAGCTGCCCTAGTTATCTTGTTGTTCTTGTTTTAGCACAACTGCTTGCAAACTGACACATGTCAAGCTTTAATTTAGAGGAAACTTTTCAGACTGAGTCACTGCATAAAACCTCAAACATTCGTTTATTATGAAAAACTTAAAAGTCACTTAGAAATTGCCATGCTGTTTGATTCTGTTACCACAACCTCTTCTTCAGCCTAGGCTGCTAGTTTGCTTCCATGGGATGCTGCCACTCATGTTTGAATTGAAGCCACTTGTGTCTTATTGCAAATTTGCATAAGAGACAGAGATGATGCCTCATGAATCCCGGATAATGGAATTTGGACATGCAAGGCTCCATCCCCAGAGAAGGGAAAGGAGGGGGGAATTTAAAAAAAAAAAAAAAAAAGTGAAAAATAGCAGTGAGAGCTGTGGCCCAATTCAACAAGGTAATTAAGCACCCGGCCTGTCCTCAAGCACATGAGCAAAATTACTGAATGCATTGTACTTATGTGCTTTATGTTAGTCACCTTTTAAAGTGTCTTGTTAAATTGAGAGTGATTTTTAGTTACTAGAATAAAGAAGTCAATATGTTGTAGGAAGAGGTCACCAGGTGGTGATGAAAATAAAGATGTTGCTCAAGCCATTTCTGCATAGCTTTCAAAGAGCAGCAAACACAGGAGTTACAAGTTTAACACTAATAACACACTTCAAACCTGGAAGTCATCTTAATCAGATTTTTTTCTGCCTTTGCCACTGGATGTTGAGGACATCACAAAAATATTAGATCCCTCACCATACATCGGAGAAAATTAAAAGCACAAGGTACATGCTATGTCTTAATCAGTTAGCAAGGCTTAATGGGCTGTGGTTAAAAATGAGGAGTCATGCAAAGCTTAATTTTGATATATTAGGTGAGGTACTATAACAAATAAACAGGCCGAGTGCTAAATGTGGATAAATAGCTTGATCTCCAGACTCCTGGTCTCTGAATATCTCTGTTTTGTTTTGTTTTTTTTAAAAAAAATCCCAAAAACAAACAAAAAAAAAACCCCAAAAACTAAGCTCCAAAGTATTCACAAACTGAACTATTTAATGGCAGGCAGAATAATTCACAGAGCCATGATACGTTAATGCGGTTGATAGTGCCAACTTCATTGAAGAAAGTTGTAAACTGATGTGTTTCTTTCATACCTCTGTCTTCCCTGGTGTTGATACAGGATTTAAATTCAAAATCTATGAAGGGCTAAAGCTCAAAATCATTTTCCATGTTTGCCTGTCCCAAATTAAAACTGTGTTTTGTTGACAAAATTTGGAAAGGTTTGAGATTTGGCAGGCCTGGTTGTCCCTGTGCTTACATTAATGTGTCAGCACCTCATTAATCATTTATTAAACTGTAGTGTGCCTTTCCCTCTTGCTATGGTCTGTGTTTAGGATGCCTCAGTGCCCATTCCACATATACATTGACTCTCCCCTCCCCCTAATTTTACGATTTCTCCACAAATTAGTTTTAGCATGTGCTTTAGCTTGAACATATCCCAGTCATTTCAAAATCAAAATGAGGAGAGTGTAGTATATTTTTAGATTAAAAAATATGAGCAGAACTTGTAAGTATGTAAGTGCTCTGTAGCAATCTAAGTATGTAACTGTGGCACACAATATTCAAGGTGTATTTTTTTTCTCTGTTAATAATTAGGGGCGTTAATATTTTGTTAGTGCAGTGTATGTTCAGTATTCCTGTATTAATGAGATTTTGCATTTAAACAATTAAGCAGTAAGTGTGTGCTGCTTCTTACAGGTGCACTATGAATAATCATTTTTTTTTCCATACAGATACATAAAGTAACCACTTTTTTTCTGCATTTCCTGAGACTGGAAACAGTTTCTCTTGGGGATTCCTTTTATAGTTTCTTCTGCTAACGACACTGAAGAACCACACCAATGTGGTCTCTTTGTAGTAAATCAAACTCTCTGTTCGGGAGGTAGGTAGGAAGACACTGTTAAGTAACTCAAAATATGTTGCATCAACAGTTTCGGAAACCTGAGGGGGGAAAATTAAATGTAGATTTACTCACATAAAACTGACCTCACTAGGATTGTTTCCTTGAGTTCTTCCCTGGAAAGGTGCATGTATAAAGACAGCTACTTATATATATGTTTTTCACAGGTTTGAGGCCTGACTTGGTATTATTACTCTGACCCATTATTTTTCTGGAATCCTATTTCTAGAAATGTTCAAAAGTTTGGGTTTCAGCACAGGATTGATCAGCTTCAGTGGGAAACCTGTGTGTACCTATATGGTTTTAGGACTGGGGAAAATATTTTATGCTGTAGCCACTGTTATTAACTGTAATAGTGTTAATTTTCATATACATCTAAGCAGACCCATAGAAAAAGATAAGAAGCTGGCATAAATCATGGAGCTGTGACAGGCACTGCCAGCTAAGGATTTGGCTGAAAATCCCAGTTGCAAAGAATTTACAATGGTTGCAAGTGCACAAATAAGATTGCAAACCCTGAGCCACTTACTATAAGATCATATTTTATTGAAAATATCATAAACTTTATTCTATCCCTCAGGAATGCAATGGATAAATTACTTTTGAAATCCCTTTTGGAATTTTATATATAGGGCTTGGTTTTTTGGTTTTTTTTTCCCCCTTAGTTTGATTTCAGAAAAACTTACCTACAGTGTTTGGTGCTTTCTTTTTCCCAAATTTCCATCTGTAAGAGCTCTTGAATCATTTATTCTGTATTTTAATATCTTTCACTTAAAACATGCACAAAAATCTATTGCCTGGAATGCCATTCTGAGGGACAGTTATAGGATCCTTTAGGTGTAAACTATTCTCTTTTGTATTCCTCTTTTTAAAGACAAAGACTTCAGGATTAGCTATGGGCAATTTAGCAGCGTTGCTTACTTTATATTTTTGAGCACTTTAATCGGTGGTCAGAAATAGGTGGAAAATTTTTTCTTTAACTTTTTTTTTTTTAAGATCCAATTCAAGTGATGAAATTGAATTGTTGTAAACGATCCTTTAAGCGTCCCCATTTGACCAACTTTGAGAGGCAACAGCTTCCTGAGAGAGTTGAAGCAATGTTTGCCAATCCTTGTAAAGCATTTCACCTCTTCAGAGGCTAAAGCCTCTCAAAACCAAGAACAATTAAAGCGAGAGCCTTTCAGAGCAACTGGGGAATTCAGCAAAATAAATCAGAAATCCTCTGCCGTGGCTCTGGAGGCTTGCCTCATTATAAGAGCAGATCTATTAGCCCCCTTGCCATTGTCTTTCATTTCTCAAGTGAGGTGATTCTAATTAAATTAATCTGCATGTCAATCTATCGGTGATCAATCAAAAGGGCTGAGGTCCCCCTTTGCGGCAGTGTGCTTGCGGCTGACAAGGGCTGATAATGGAGGAAGAAATAAACTGTCGAGCAAAGTTAATTAGTCAACATAATAGGTGGATTAAACAGGAGCTGCTGATTGCTGTTTCACATGTCGAAGCATGAGGTGGGAGCTGAAACTGCAATTAACAGACAATTATTATATTTGGTTGTAAGAGGTCGCATGAATAAACATATCTCTATGGGTTTCAGTTTTTAATCCCTTTCCCTGTTTAATGTAAGGAGAAGTGTAGGTCATTTCTTCTTATTGTTTTAGTCGAAGTTCTCGAAGGCGACGTGTGCTCCTGGCAAACCAGGAGCCAGCTGAAGGCCAAATCTTTGGCTGGGGTAAAACACTGGGAATACTGTACTTTGTTGGGAAAAGGCTGTGGGAATGGGCAGCTGAATGAAAGCCAGGGAGGCTATAAGGTTGCTTGGTCTGAGCGGGGTGGGAGGAGACCTGGTGTGATGAGCTCGCAGCTCTGCCAGGCACTTGTCCCCTGCATCCCCCCCCACCTTTCCTCCATGATGGTTCGTGGCTCATGTGCCCTCAACCTGAACTGGGATTTCCTATAGGATGTTGCCTGCTGACCCTCAAGGTTGAGAGGTCCCTCTGGATACCTCTGAGCTGCTGGGTCTTCTAGTCTGGACCCAACACTTACCTGTTTGCCCCTGCTGGGTTGGCTCCTCTCCTGCCCCAGGCTGCTCTGGGGTGCAGAACTGTTGGATCCTGCCTCCATGGCAGTGCTTCTCTGTCTCCTTCCCCTCGCCTCAAACCAAATCCCAGGTGTTGACATTGAGATAAGTTGAGAAATACAAATAATTCTAAGGCTGGGGATGAATAGGGTTGTGTTCTCCAGATCAAGAGCCCACTGTCAAGCATGCGTGTGTACACAAACATACCTATACGTACTCCCTGAGATAGAGCTCAGGAGAAATTTGGGCAAGTTCAACAACCTGTAGTGACTGTACTGAGGGGAGAGCAGTAGAGAAGGGTGGGAGAGGCATGCAATAACTCTCATTGCAACTTCACAAAATACACTTTTGTTTTCTTTTATTCTGAATCGATTCTCATTTGCAATGTCAACAGGTCTATCTACTTCAGCATGGAAACTGAAGGATAATTTAGGGTGAAACACAGCTGCCCTTGTATATAGGGGAAAAAGTACTTAATAAAGATCTTCTTGTTAAAATGATGGTTAACAGTGTGCCGTCTGCCATGCAGCTACAAACTCTGCAGTTTAACTTAAAACTGCATCAAAAGCTTGTGATGCCAAAGACCCACTCATCAATAGCGTCTCTTGTTAGATTTGTACAGCATAAGCACCAGTTATTATGCGAAATAGCTATGCAATTTTCTACAGCTCCCAGCTGTTATTTATTTAACTGAGTTTATTACACTCTGTGCTTCTTAAAAAACATACATATATATCCAAATTTTCCTCCATTTTGCTCTTGTGCTTGCAGGTTGTGGTGTCTACAACAGTCAACGTTGATGGCCATGTGTTGGCAGTGTCGGACAATATGTTTGTACACAACAATTCCAAGCACGGGCGGAGAGCTCGAAGACTCGATCCCTCGGAAGGTACGCCTTCTTATCTGGAACATGGTAGGCATATCATTTTCATTGGTTGGCATTGCTACTTTGAATGTGGATTTATTTGGTTTGTGTTTCTGGCTACTGGTTTCAAATTGTCCTGTAACTGTTTATACCTTTGGGACTGCATATTTTAAAGAGACTGGCCTCCAGACCAAAGGGGGAATTTTTCAAGTAGGTCAGCACTAAATGTAGTGAAATGACAAACTAGTAGGCAAACATGGGTGCAGAGTCTGTCCTGTGTGTCAGTGAAGTGTGGTGATTTATCTTTTTCTTTTTAATTTTTTTTTTGTTGCATCTATTCAACACCCAAAATTGGATTCTGATCTTTTTGAAATTGCCTTGATTTTTGACTGTGTGTCTAAAGGATGTTGCATATTGTCTGAAGTGCTCAGCACCCAAATTTTGGATTGGATTTCTTCTATCTATAGAGTGCTGAGCTCTCTAGGAGATTCAGCTGTTCCTTTGAATTGCCCTAAATGAAAGCAGAGCCCTTTTGGAAATCCATCTGCTTACTCAAGCCATGGACGAATGTTCTCTTCTGGCTCCAGCTGTGCCAGCTGAGGAAGTTGCTCTTCCCTGCATGCCACAGCTGCTTGTCTTTCCTCCCTGCTGCAGGCTATTCTCCACCATGGACTTGCCAGCTAAGATGGTTGTCTGATTGCTCCCTAGTCTCCTTCAGTCTGAAGAAGTTCATTTGAGTTAAACCGTTTAAATAATAACTCTTTGCCAATCTAACTTATTTTGCTGAAATGATTGAAGGAGAAATGGTACAAGGCAATTTGTCTGGCTTTTCTGAAAGGACAGTAAACTCCAGCAAGGGTCGGATGGGGGCACGTGGCTGGAAGCAGCCTGGGGGACAGTAATCTTTTCCGTAAGATCAGCTGGTCCTGGAACAGAACATCTGCTGGTGACTGTAGGTGCTTAAAATGGGAGTTGTTGAGTGCAAATGTACTTTGAAAAATCTGGATTTGATTAATGTTTTGTTTTGCTCTTTGTCCTCAAAGTTGATGACTACTACTGAAAAACAAAACAAAAACAGAGGGCATTTCACTCCCCTCTCCCTGTTCCAGCTTGGTAGAATAGCTCTTTGTCTTCAAAGCAGTTTGTAATCCTAAATTCAATAGGTGCTTGCTCCCTCTAAGAGATGTGTACCCTCAGCTTCCGTTGAAGTAGTTGAGTGTAGAAGGCACCAGTCCTTTTATGCTGGTTTGTTTCACAAATATTTGCCAAGGATCTGATGAATAATTAAATAGATTTTTCCAAAGAGTTTGAAGAAACCAGATAAAACTTTCTCTGGGAAAGTGAATGCCACTCAGAAAAATGTTAACTAGATATGTTAAAAGAAATCGTTAATACTGAGAAATGGGCAAATGTGTGGGTTTCTACTACTCAGTGGATTCCTGTGGAAATAGTTTTCTATTCTGTTTATGCTTTCAGGCATCAGTCCTGCAAGCACTTATGCATATATTTAAGATTATGCACACATATGGTCCTGTTGGGATCAATGAGGCTTCTTGTGTCAGTAAAGTTGAGGGTATTGATAAGTGTTTGCAGAATCGGGTCTGTAGTTCACACTTACTAACCTAAAATTCTTAGCTCAGCAGCGTTTCTCATTATATAAACATAACTTACATCTGTATTTATTTAGCTCTAACTTTTTATGTAGGCTATGAGGCATTTTCAGCCATAATTCATGTTATAGAATTTTTTTTCATCCTGCCAACAACCGAATTTAATAAACAAACCACTGTCATAATTTTTGCTGAATTTTTGTAAGGAATGTATGAACTCTGTCTTTATTAATTAGCAGAAGGCAGAACATTACAAAGGGAAACTTCTCTCTGTTCAACTTTGTAATCTTTCCATTAAGTCTAGTCTTTCAAAAAGACACTCCTATTTTTTATGTATAATCCTACTAAAGTAGATGCCATCTTTTTTCTTTTTCCTTTTTTCTTCTTTTTCCTTTTTTCCTTTTTTCCTTTTTTCCTTTTTTCCCTCTTTTCCTTCTTTTCCTTTTTCTTTTTTTTTTTTTTTTTTTTTTCCTTTTTTTCCTCATTGCAGTCTTCTGAGTGCATGATTTTGGTCATGGCAATACTTACTTTCTCATACATATATATTCTTGTTTGCATGCATGATGTAATAGCATCTCATTTTACCACAGCTATCGTTCCCACTCCTACTACCTGAGGGGTTCTGTTAGCAAAAAGAAACAAAAAAAGATAATACTATGCTTATGTATCTACACAAACCCTAGTTACTGTGCTAACATTAAAAGTCAACATCTGCAAAATATCTCCATGTGTACATTTTGTGGGAAAGGTGATTTTTCTAATCTGTTCTCTCAGGCACCTCTCAAGCAACCTCATAAAGCAACTGCTAGTAAATTCTTACTTTTGAATAGCAACCTCCACACTACAAAATTGCACTGTTCCCAAAGGCTTGGTGGAGCCTTTCTTTTTAACCGAAATCCTTCAATCCAGCTCTCCAGGAATTCCATGCACATTTGAGTCCAA